AAAAAAAAACCTGTAGGGTAAGATTAGAATCCAGCACTTACCGCCTGTGAACTCTGCCCCATTCAGCTGATCTTAAAGCTTCCACTGGATTCTTTTTTTCTGAGATGGAAATGAACGCTTTTGTTCTCACCCTGCAGTGGGAACCAGCAGTGCTCAGTGACTTTCTTGGCTGTGTCCCCTTTGTGCTTTTCTGGGTCAGTTCAATGCAGTGTTCTCCACATTTTTGGGATTGGTGGGAGCCCCACAGGTGCTGTGTCCATAACACACAAACCACGCCAGGCACAGACTTGGAATAATTTTATTTTTTTTTTCTTCCATGTGTTTAAAGCACACAATGAGCTAATTCCTGGAGAAGAGAGAGGATGAAAGGGGTAAGAACAGCCCAGCCTTTCTCCTCAGCTGGTGGCCAGCTATGGACAGCAAAGTGACTCTGCCATTTCCTCCTGGGGGGTGAATTCCCATCCCTTCCCAATTGTCCCTTTTTCAGGGGTGCAGGCAGAGGCACCTCAGGGCCTGAATCTTGTGCCAGGAAATCCAGCTTTGCTCTCTTGCCTGAGCCTGGGCTGGGAGTGGGTCTGTAGGGAAGGGGCTTGGAAGGAATTTGGAGGGATCTTGGAGGGATCTCAGAGGAATCCTGGAAGGATCCCGGCAGGTCCTGGCAGGAGCTGGTGTCAGGCACGGAGCCCCGGGCTCTGGAGGGCTCAGCTGCCGTTCCCAGCTCGGGGTCCCTCTGCTGTCCTGGCGGATCCCGGCCCAGCTTTGGGATTCTGGAGGTGGCAGAGCCACCCTGGAATGTGCCTGGAGCTGACATCAGCTTTGCCCTGCATTAGAACAATCAGCACCTGGGGTTTGATGGGCTGAGCGCTGACACTTGCCTGCCTTGTGCTGCTTTTCCATGTCTAATCCAGCCCTGCTGTGACAGCCACGGTGCCCAGGCTGCTCCTGCCAGCAGCCCTTCCTTTCATTAACCTTCCTGCACCACTGATCACATATTTATTGTCCAGGGCCTGGGGCTGGGGCTTTGCCCTGGAATTAAGCTGCTTTCCGTCTGGTCAGCCCTCGGTGAGTTGCACATCCCGTGGGAGCTGCTCTGAAGCTGTTTCTGGGCTGCAGGGCTGTGCTTTAATGCTCTCAGGGCTGATCCCAAGTGACAACTGCTGCAGGACGCTCCCTGCCTGGGGACAGCACTCCTGCCCCTTCCGGCCCCAATTAAGGTGCCGCTGGAATTCCCAGGGAAAGGCTGGGCTCTTTGCGTGCCCCCCTGGAGCAGGGCCGGCTGCACTTCCTTCAGTGGGGCTTTAATGACAATTCCAGTGTCTTCTGCCCCTTTTCCTCCCTAGGAGAAGCTGTGCAGGCTGTCAGAGCAGGGGCTGCAGTGGGGCAGAATTCCCAGGCTCTCACTCCATTCCAAGGGCAGGAGAGGGGAAGCAGCCAGGAGCGGTGACTTTCTGGGTGCCACTCACATTTCTAGGGAATCTTGCACCTCTTTGCGTGCCCCCCTGGAGCAGGGCCGGCTGCACTTCCTTCAGTGGGGCTTTAATGACAATTCCAGTGTCTTCTGCCCCTTTTCCTCCCTGGGAGAAGCTGTGCAGGCTGTCAGAGCAGGGGCTGCAGTGGGGCAGAATTCCCAGGCTCTCACTCCATTCCAAGGGCAGGAGAGCAGCCAGGAGTGGTGACTTTCTGGGGTCCCACTCCATTCCAAGGGCAGGAGAGGGGAAGCAGCCAGGAGCGGTGACTTTCTGGGTGCCACTCACATTTCTAGGGAATCTTGCACAGAAACAAGGAGAGGTGTGGAAAGAAGACCCTGGTGTTTGACAGAAGGATTGATCACCTAGAAATGCTGGCTGTGGTGTGTATTTTGAGGGGACGAAGAGGAAAGTCATTTTATTTCACAATTTACTGTGCAATGAAATGTGTCCAGGAGCAGCAGGCAGGCTCTGCTTTGGTGTTCAGGGTGGTTGAGGGAGATGTGATTTAAAACAAGTGGGGTTTAGTCACTTTTTGCAAAAAAAAAAAAAAAAAAAGGGTTTTTTTTTCCTTATTTTTCCATTAATTTTTTCTGTTTTCCCGGAGCCGGAGCGCCGTGCCCGCGCTGCCGCGGCCGGCAGAGGAGCTGCAGCCTCTGCTGCGCGCTGGTTCCGCGGCAGCGCTGCTCCAGCCCGCGGCCAGGAGATGTCCCCAGCGGCCCGGGGGTGCTGCAGGAGCCCCGGCCGGGCCGGGCGGGCTCGGAGCCCCCTGCCCTGTGCCCAGCGAGCTCCTGCCGGCATGGGGCACAGGCGGCCACGGCGAGGTCAGAGCAGCGCCTAAAAACTCAATTAAAAACCCCAGAACGGCTGCAGCGTTCTCATTTAGGGCTTGGTGGAACTGGAATCGTGGAGAGCCTGGGAGAGCCTAAAACCCCTCTCGTGTCTTCTGTCTGTGGAAGTGCTTTGGGGAAGAGCAAGCAAAAGTTTTATAAAGTCAGCAACAGAGCAGCGCCTAAAAACTCAATTAAAAACCCCAGAACGGCTGCAGCGTTCTCATTTAGGGCTTGGTGGAACTGGAATCGTGGAGAGCCTGGGAGAGCCTAAAACCCCTCTCGTGTCTTCTGTCTGTGGAAGTGCTTTGGGGAAGAGCAAGCAAAAGTTTTATAAAGTCAGCAAATCTGCCTCTTTAGATATTTTTATGCTAGATATTTTATCTATTTTATGCATTGTCTATAAAACTATATCATATATAATCTATTGAATGTTATTATATATTCAAATAAACCTACATTTTTTAGTATATTTTAGCATTAGAATTTATTATATCGATACTATAGAATTTATTTTGGGGGATGTTGAAAATGCAGTTTGGGAGGTTTTTATATTCTCACTATTGCAAGGCTTGTGTTGGTTGTTCATTAAACAGGGACCATGCCCAGGAGGTGCTGTGAAGGACCAGGAACTCATCCTGCTGGGAGGAGGAGCAGCAGGGACAGGCAGAAAAGGGGTTTTTTTAGCCAAAACTGCTCCCTGCAGTTGCCAAAGGGGCTGGAGCACCACCTCTGTTCCAGCTGCTGCAGCCCTGTGACCTGCACCGGGCTCAGCTGGGGGAGGCCGAGGCTGGCAGGGAGCAGGAGAGGTGAAATCCCTGGGAAGCAGCAATTCCACCATCCCAGGGCTCCCCCAGCTGACCCACCCCTTCCTTTTGGGTGGGCCTCGGTCACGGGCCCTCTTTTGAGGAGAAATTAAATCAGTTAAAAACCAATCAGCTGGTTCTTGGCACATGGGCCAGCTCAGCCCAGGAGGGAGCCCCAGGCAGAGCAGCGCTCAGCCCTCCCTGGGGCTGGGCCCCTCTGGGCTCCAGCTGGGCTTTGGGAAGGGGCCTGGGGCTCGGGGACAGGGGGACAGGGCTGCCAGGGACCCTGCCAGACCCCCAGGGCAGCGCAGGGCACGGGGGCCAAATCTGGGCACAGCAAGAAGCAGAGAAGATGAATGAAGGACAGAAGGGAATGAAAAAATTCCAGGTGCTGGATGCAGTGGTCAGTCCCCCTGATGCCAGGGGCTTCACAGGGGCTGTCACAGTGCTGGAGGAGCCCCTGGAGCTGTCACAGTGCTGGGAGGAACGCCTGGAGCTGTCACAGTCGTGGGAGGAACACTTGGAGCGGTGACAATGGGTGGAGGAGCCCCTGGAGCTGTCACAGTGCCGGGAGCAGCACCGGAGCTCCCACAATGGTTGGAGGAGCCTCAGTGCCTCTCTCTGGGACTGAGTAGCCACAGGGCTTGTCCCGGTGCTCGGGGGTGGCCTCGGGGCTGGTGCAGGGCACAGCAGCCCCCGGGCCAGCAGCAGGACGTGCGGTGGCAGCGATGGCCCACGAGGACGTGAGCTATTACCGGGGGCAGTACAAGGACCGGCTCCTGCGCCTGCTCAGGTCAGGGGCTCCTCCAGCCTCCCCCCGTGCCTCCGTTTGTCCTTCCCTGCCGCGGCAAGCTCCATCCCTTCCCCGCTCCTGTCCCTCCCCGTCACCCCCGGAGCTGTGCTGGGGTCCCTGCAGGGGAGGGCCGGGGGGGCCACGCTGCCAGGGGGTCCGAGGTGGGGCTGGGTGCTGCCCACATACTGCCAGGGGGGTCCGAGGTGGGGCTGGGTGCTGCCCACACACTGCCAGGGGGGTCTGAGGTGGGGCTGGGTGCTGCCCACACCCTGCCAGGGGGTCCGAGGTGGGGCTGGGTGCTGCCCACACGCTGCCAGGGAGGGGGCTGGGAAGGGGGCTGGGGGGCTCTGGAGGGTGGCAGGAGCAGGCAGGGGTGGCTCTGGCTGCTGTGTCACCCTCGCTCCGGGGCTGCCAGGCCTTCACAGACAGGATGGAGAGCCTTGCTGAGCAGTGGAGGGACCTGCACGCCAGGAGGGCCCAGCTGAAAGCCCACGTGGTGACATCTGGGGCGACTGTGAAGGTACACCTGGCACACCTGGCACTCCTGGAACACCTGATACACCTGGAACACCTGGTACTCCTGATACCCCTGGCACCCCTGGCACCCCTGGCACACCTGGCACATGTGGCACACTTGGAACACCTGAACACCAGGCACACCTGGCACACTTCATACACCTGGCACACCTGATACCCCTGGCACACCTGGCACACCTGACACTCCTGGTACTCCTGGCACACCTGGTACCCCTGGCACACCTGGCACACTGCCCCTGCTCACAAGCTCCTCTCCCCTGGGACCAGCCCTGGCTCAGCCCTCCCGGCCAAGGCCTCCCCTGAGGCCGGAGCTGTGAGCAGCAGGGATTTGTGCCCTGGCTGGGACAGGGCACAGCCCCAGCCCAGGGCTGCCCAGGGCAAAGGGACAGTGCAGGGGGGTGGCCCCGGGACAGGGAGGGGGTGGCCCCGCCGTGCTGGGCTCTCCTGGCAGTGCCCTGAGTGACCCAGCTCTGCCTTCCCGTGCCTCCCTCCCCCTCTGGCTGCATGGGTGCCGAAAACCTCCCCAGGAGAATGAAAGGCTGCGAAGCCAAGCTCTGAAGAAAGCCAAAGAAGAGAAAGAGGAGAATTCCAAAAAGGAGAGTGAGCTTTTGAGGGCTAGGAGGGAACTGGAAGCCCTGAGGAAACAGCACCAGGTACTCTCCAAAAAATTGCTGAAGTACTCCCTGTTCAAGAAGTACCTGGACGAGGTGGTGGAGAATTCACAGGTGAGCTTGGGCGTGGCTCAGGGAGGGTCTGAGCCCAGGGATGAGGCAAGGCCAGGGAAATCAACACTTGAACAAACCCAGAGACTCCGGGTGGGCTGGGAAGGGCTCTCTGGCAACCAAGGTGGGCCAGGAGAGGAGAACCAGAGCAGATGAAGGATTGGGAAAACAGAGCAAAAACCATGAGAAAGGGTAAAGCTCAGCGCTGAGGGGAGCAGGGCCCCCTCGGTGTCACCGTTCCAGGCCACACTGATGGTTTGGGGCAGGTGAAGAGTGCCCAGGCTGGGACCCAGGCAGTTGTGAGGAAGCTGTGTCCCCTCTCCAGGCTGCTGGGACATCTCTCCATGCTGCAGCAGCTCCAGCAGCTCCTCTCCATCCCCCGAGCTCCTGCTGCCTGCCAGGGCCTGGGCACACGGAGCATTGTGTTTCATGCCAGCACGGCTCCCCTGGGCACAGCTGTGTCCCCTCCCCAGTGCCACTGCCAGGCCTGGGCCTGGCACTGTGCGTGTCACGTGCTGTCCCCACACCCAGGGGACGTGGCATTGCTCAGGGACCAGCAGGACCATGGAGAAGGGAAAACCTTCCAGGGGCAGCCTTGGCCCTGCACAGGGCAGGGACCCAGGAGGGACAGGGTGTCACTGACCACAGGGGGGGCAGGACAGGGTGTCACTGACCAGAGGGGGACAGGGTGTCACTGAGCCCAGGGGGCAGAGCAGGGTGTCACTGACCCCAGGAAGGACAGGGTGTCACTGAGCCCAGGGGACAAGGCAGGGTGTCACTGACCCCAGAGAGGGCAGGACAGGGTGTCACTGAGCCCATGGGGGACAGGACAGGGTGTCACTGAGCCCAGGGGGGGAAGGGTGTCACTGACCCCAGAGAGGGCAGGACAGGGTGTCACTGAGCCCATGGGGGACAGGACAGGGTGTCACTGAGCCCAGGGGGGACAGGGCAGGGTGTCACTGACCCCAGGAAGGACAGGGTGTCACTGAGCCCAGGGGGCAAGGCAGGGTGTCACTGAGCCCAGGACCTGTGCTGCAGTTCCATGACATCGATGACATCATCACCTACTACAAGGCCCTGCTGAGGACACGCAAGGACCTGCTGCAGTCCCAGTGGTGGCACCGGCAGCTGATGGAGCAGGGCAAGGGCCTGCAGCAGCAGATCAGGGAGGAGAAGGAGGCTGAGATGCTGCAGTGCAGGAATGAGCTGGTGCAGCTCAAAGAGTCGCTCGAGCAGGCTCAAAGTGACATCCGGCACTGGGTAAGGAGCTGAGGGGTGGCCAGGGGGGCTCTCCAAGGCCTGGGGGGGCCAGGCAGCCAGGAGCTGGTGGCAGGGCCAAGCAGCAATTTGTGGTGGGAGGAGATGCCCCATCCCATCCCATCCCATCCCATGGCATCCCATGGCATCCCATGGCATCCCATGGCATCCCATCCCATCCCATCCCATCCCTGCGCGGATGGAGGAGCGAGAGCCCGGGTGTGGGGCAGGTTTGTCACCAGGAAGGGCTGGAAGCAGCAGGACTGGGCGTGACAGTGGCAGTGCTGCAGGGGAGCTGTCCCAGCACAGGGCTGGCAGGGTGGGCATGCCAGGGTGGGCACTGCAGCACAACTGGGCTGGAACCTGGGCTGCTCCCAGCCCAGCGGGCTGGACTGGACCGGACCAGACCAGCCCATCCCATCCAAGCCCAGCCCAGCCCGGCCCATCCAAGCCCAGCCCAGCCCGGCCCATCCAAGCCCAGCCCAGCCCAGCCCAGCCCATCCAAGCCCAGCCCATCCAAGCCCAGCCCAGCCCGGGTGTGGGGCAGGTTTGTCACCAGGAAGGGCTGGAAGCAGCAGGACTGGGCGTGACAGTGGCAGTGCTGCAGGGGAGCTGTCCCAGCACAGGGCTGGCAGGGTGGGCATGCCAGGGTGGGCACTGCAGCACAACTGGGCTGGAACCTGGGCTGCTCCCAGCCCAGCGGGCTGGACTGGGCCGGACCAGCCCAGCCCAGCCCATCCAAGCCCAGCCCAGCCCAGCCCGGCCCGGCCGCGTCCTTCCCAGCCAGGCGAGGCTGAGCCGGGCTCTCCGGCCGGGCTCCGGGGCTGAAGCAGCTGTGGCGGGCCGTGGCCCGTGTCCCCAGGAGGATCGCTGGGCGCAGGTGCAGGACAGGGCTGCCAGGAAGGCGGTGGAGCTGAGGTCCCTCACCATGGCCATCCACAGCCTGTTCCAGGCCGCCAGCGCGCGGCTGCAGCCGCAGGGCAGGGTGGCAGCTGGGGACAGCCACAGGCAGCTGGACATGGTAAGGTGGGCGCAGCCCCCCTCTCGGGGGCAGGAAGGGCCCCCCGAGGCCAGGGGGAGCCCCCAGACCCAGCACCCCCTCCCTTCTTCCCTGGGGTCCCTGCAGGGCAATGGGAGGGACACCAGGCAAACCTGGCCTGCCCCAGGCGAGCAGGGTGGGGCCAGGTACGGACAGGGGTGCAGGGAGATGGGGGTGCAGGGCTGCAGGGGTTTGGGGGTGCAGGGAGATGGGGGTGCAGGGCTGCAAGGGTTTGGGGGTGCAGGAGATGGGGATGAAGGGTTCCAGGGTGGAGGGATGTGGGGATGCAGCGTTTTGGGGATGCAGGCATGCAGGGACAGGGAGTGCAAGGATGTGGGGATGCGGGGATGAAGGGGTGCAAGGGTTTGGGATGCAGGGATATGGGGATACAGGGATATGGGGTGCAGGGATATGGGGATGCAGGGATATGGGGTGCTGGGTTTTGGGGTGCAGGGATATGGGGTGCTGGGTTTTGGGATACAGGGGTGCAGGGATATGGGGATGCAGGGTTTCGGGATGCAGGGATATGGGGTGCAGGGATATGGGGATGCAGGGATATGGGGTGCTGGGTTTTGGGATACAGGGGTGCAGAGTTTTGGGATTCAGGGTTTTGGGGTGCAGGGATATGGGGATGCAGGGTTTTGGGGTGCAGGGTTTTGGGGTGCAGGGATGCAGATCCAGCCCTGGCCAGGGTTTGGTTCCGTTCCCCCACAGAGGCACATCCTCATGCTGCACGTGCTTTCCTGTCCCGTCACTGAGCTTGGGGACATGTGCCCTCCAGGAGGGACAGGCTCCCTCTGCCTCCTGCTCCCATTCCTGCCTGACCCCCTCTCCCTGTGCCACCCCAGATCCGGCAGTTTATCCACGACCTCCAGGACTTCACGGAGGACATGAAGGAGCGTGGCCGAGCTCTGTGAGAGCCTGCCCTGCCCGCGAGGCAGCAGCAGGGACAGGAGAGGCCAGAGAACCCTGCAGATATTGCAGACTAAAAAAAATAGCAAATATTTTAAAGCATCTCCTCATTTCCTGCTGGTCTTCCCTGCTCTTCTGTGAGCCCAAATGCTCAGAAGCAGAAGAGAGAAAAGCAGGAGGGAGCGAGCCCTGCGTGGCTCTCAGGGGTCCCTGAGCTCTCACAGACACTGGCAGTGCCACCAGGAGCTGCTCCCTGCTCTGGACCATCAGCTCCTGACTCATCCCAGAGCGTGCTGGGCCTTTGTGCCCCTGCATCTCATCCCAGCTGTGACATTTCCAAAGGGACAGGGTCATCCACACCCTCCTGAGAGGTGACTCAGCTGTCCCCACCCATGGCCACCCTGACACCCATGTGGGTGCCACCCTCTCAGGTGGCACGAGCTCATGGGACAGGAGCAGCTCTGCCCTGCCCTGTGAGGGACAGTTGGGGACACAGCTGTCCCTGCCCTGTGAGGGACAGTTGAGGACACGGCTGTCCCCAGGGGCCAGTGAGGACACTGAGGGACCGAAAGTGAGGTGTGGGTCAGAGCCAGAAATGGAGGGCTGGAGTCCTGCTGCAGCAGCAGGAGCTGCTCTGGGCGTTCCAGGAGCTGCTCTGGGCGTTCCAGGGAGCTCCTCTGGGCATTCCAGGAGCTGCCCTGGGCATTCCAGGGAGCTCCCAAGGCCAGCCCAGCTGCTCAGGGTCAGCTTTGTGCTCCTCTTTGCCCACCCTGCTGTGTCACAGCTGAGCCATCTCCTGAGATGGTCCCAGGAGGGACAACACCTGCGGAGCTTCCAGCAGACGTTTATTGGGTTGAGGTGGATGCATGTGGAGCTGTGTCCCTCCTGTGGGCTGGGCTCCTCTCCCAGCCCTCCCAGCAGTTCTGTGCGCCCGGGGAGCAGCCTGAGGGTCACAGCGGGGACACACAGACACCCTGCCCATCCTTCTGCTGGCACCAGCACTGCCTCCAGCCCAGGCTGCTTCCAGAGGGGCGAGTTTGGAATCCAGGGCTCTCTTGGCCTCTGGTCCCCCTCAGCACGATCAGACTCGGGCTGGGTCACTGTCCCAGTAAGGCCCTGAGAGGGCAGGACAGAGAGGAGCCTTTGGTGTGTGTGGAACAAAGCAAATCCCTGGGGGCTGAGCAGAGCAGCCCTGGAGGGTCTCTGGAGCGGCCCAGGACGGGATCAGCTCCAGGATGAGATCGGCTCCAGGATGGGAAGGATCAGCTCCAGGATGGGATCGGCTCCAGGATGGGATCAGCTCCAGGACAGGATCGGCTCCAGGATGAGATCAGCTCCACGGAATTCAGATCAGCTCTGTCCTGAAGGGTGGGAGCATGCTGGGCAACCCCTGCTCCCAAAATCATCCCTGTGGGGCTCTGCAGGAAGAACCAACCAGCTCCAGGGAAGGGCCAGCACCAAGGAAGCCCCTCCTGCCCGTCCCAGGTGCCCAGGACGTGCCCCTACCACGGCCGTGTCCTGTGCCAGGCGCTGGCAGTGCCCTACATGATGGAGCAGGTGAAGCCACAGCACTCCCTGAGCAGGGTCAGGCCCGTCTTGGTCACGTAGGGAGACGAGGTTTGCTGTCCCCTCGATGTCATCTTCTTCTCTCGGGCAGGAGCTGCGGGAACAGGAACACAGCTCTGCCTGGGGACAGGGCACAGCCGGGGTGCTGCTCACGGCTGCCCTGGGGCTCTGCTGGGCCCGAGGAGCCGCAGCTCCTGGGGACACTGCCCTGCGTGTCACAGCTCCTGGGGACACTGCCCTGGGTGTCACAGCTCCTGGTGACACTGCCCTGGGTGTCAGAGCTCCTGGGGACACTGTCCTGGATGTCACAGCTCCTGGGGTCATTGCCCTGGGTGTCCCCAGTCCTGCACCCCGGGGGACACTGCCCTGGGTGTCACAGCTCCTGCAGCCTGGGGACATTGCCCTGGGTGTCCCCAGTCCTGCACCCCGGGGGCACTGCCCTGGGGCTCTGGGGTGTCCCAGGGCTGGAGGTGCCTCCCACAGCCCTGGAGAGGTGACAGAGACAGGGCAGGGGTGGCTGTCATCAGAGGACTGGTGTCCTTCCTGCATCCCCCCGAGGTGTGAGCCAGTGGTCAAGGGGAGATGCAGGCTGGCAGCTCTAAGGGAGCCCCCCCAGCCCCCTTCTCACGGGCCATGCTGGGAAATGCCAGGAGGAAACGGGTCCCTAAGGTCTGCTCCAGTTCCAGGTGCTCCAAGCTGTGACCCCAAGCACCAGCGGCCCCCGTTCCCCTTCCCTACCCTCCCCCAGCACCAGGCAGGGAAATCGTGGAGGCAGAGTGCCTGGGAAAGGGGACAAGGCCAGGGAGGTTCAGTGCAAGCAATGGACACGTCAGCACCCACTTGCTCTCTGGAGGTAGCTTTTGGAGAGCTTGCTCTGCAGGAACTCGGCCATCTCCTTGTCTTCTTCCCTTTCCCTGTGACAAAGAACTCGGTCACTGCTCAGGAAAGGAGCAGCAGGGCCCCCAGGAGCTCTGGGAAGGCAGGACACAGCTCAGAGGATGGATTGCACTGTCCCCAGCACGAGCAATACCTGAGCCTCTCGAACTCCACATCATCCACCAGGAAATCCCGCGTTTCCACCAGCTTGTGGATCTGCTGCACCAGCTCCTCTTCCCTCTGCTTCTCCTCGTTGGATTTCTGGTTCTCTGCAGCACAGGGAGCACAGTCACAGCCACAGGGGGCATATTTCACACCCCACAGGAGCCGCCCCCCTGCCAAGGCCAGTCCTGCTCTGCTCGGCTCCGAGCGTGGGGGCAAAGCTGGATCCAGGCTCGGGCTGCAAAACGAGCAGGAATCTCATCGAGCCACCCTGGCAGGAGGTGACAGCTCTGCTGGGGCTCTGCTGGGGCTCTCCCACCGCCTGAACTAGTGCAGAATCACCTGGGCGCTGTCTGGGCAGCCCAAACCCGCCTGCGGGGACAGGGCCACCCCAAGGCCATCAGGCTGTGCCCAAGCACCGTTAATTGGGGTTCATTAACATCGGCTACTCGCGGTTCATTAACCACTATGAGGAAGAACCTGCCAGGGTTAAGGTCCCACTGGACAAACGCTGCTCCTTCCTGCGGCTGGCAGAGCCCGTCACGGCCACATCTGAATGATGAGAGGCACCTTGGTGACATCTGAATGATGAAAGGCACCTTGGTGACATCTGAATGATGAAAGGCACCTTGGAGACATCTGAATGATGAGAGGCACCTTGGTGACATCTGAATCATGAAAGGCACCTTGGCTGGGGACGTTCTGAGCCCCAGCCCTGGCTGGGCTCTGAGCAACACTGACGTGTTCCTGTCTTTATCCAAAGCCGAGGCTGCCGTGGCTGCCTCACCAGAGCAGGGGTGTGCAGGCTTTTTCCAGCACAGACTGCTCTGAGTCAACTTATGAAGACAAAAAGAGCAGGATTTCTGCTCTCAGCTGAGTCTGGGAGTGATGAGAAGTCAAGAAATGAAAGCCCAAAGCAGATGAAGGAAAGCCAGGCTCATTTCTGCAGTAGCAGAAAAAAACAATTTATCTCTGCTCTGAGCCGTGGTTTAGGGAAAGTCTTGGTTTATGGACTGGAAGGAGTTGGGATTAAAAACCCCCGTGAGATCTGGAGCAAGGAGCTCCTGTTTCCATGGCAGGATGCTCCCCTCCCCCCTGAGCCCCATCCTGACGCTGAGCCAGGTTTATTGAAGGGAGCAGCACCTGAATACTGAGCAGCACCTGGGCTCTGCCTGCGTGCTGAAGGCTGCCAGGCACAGGCAGCACGGTGCCACTGTGGCACCTGGCAGGGCCACCCTGGCCTCTGGCTGTCCCTGGGAACAGCACAGAGGAGGTGCCTGGGGACACAGCTGGGCACAGCTGGGCCCTGCCTGCACCCATCTCCCCTGCCACACCTGCCCTGGGCTGGAGAGTGCAGCACTGCCAGGGATCCCAGCACTGCCAGGGACCAGCACTGCCAGGGATCAGCACTGCCAGGGATCAGCACTGCCAGGGACCAGCACTGCCAGGGATCAGCACTGCCAGGGATCCCAGCACTGCCAGGGATCAGCACTGCCAGGGATCCCAGCACTGCCAGGGAACCCAGCACCCTGAGGATCCCAGCAGCACCTTCAGGGATCCCAGCACCCTTGGGGTCCCAGCACCCTCGGGAGCATCCCCAGAGCCTCACCTGGCAGGGCCAGGAGTTTCTGGAGCTCTGCTTTCAGCCGGCTGATTTCCTTGCACAGCTGGATGTCATCCATCCTGCAGAGACACAAACGAAACCTCTGGGGGGGAAGCTGGGAGAGGAGGGGTTCAAACCCCCAGAGCAACACCCAGCCAGGGCCTGTGGTGGGGATCCCAGAGTTCCCTGCCCTCCCGTGGGAAATGCCAGCCCACTTCAACCCCGAGCTTTGTTGGGCGCTGGTTGTAGGCAGAGAGAAAGCTTCATCACCTTAATGATAGCAAAACCTTATCAAAACCTGGCCCATCCACCAGGCAAGAGCTGCTGTGCTTCTCCTGGTCCCAGAAAATAATCCCCAAAGAGAAAAACCCAAAACGAAGTGGAAGCTGCTGCCATAGAAAAAGATCTTTTTTTATCCCACCTTCCTGCAGAATTAAATAAAGGTAGAAACATGAAATGTGACAGAGAGGGTGTGCAGAGCACCAGGGGACCACAGGGACAACAGAGGTTTCTGGGGACACACTGATTGAAATGAAATGAACAGTCAGATGAGAGCTGGATGATCGTTGCATTTAAATGGAAATGAACTCTGGAAACAGTGATAGGGACAATAAAAGATAATAAATTCTCTTTTCAATTAAAATTAGGAGGGGTTGCAGGGACAAGAACCCAGCAGACTCCTCTGGGGCTGGGATTGCTTCTACCCCTGCTGTGGGCAGGGAGAAATCAAACCAGGGGTTAAGGAAACACCAGAGCTGCGAGCTTTGACAGCACCTGAGAGGATCAGGTGCTGTTGCC